TCTAGTTATCTATAATTAGGTTCATTTTTCTTTTAACAATGTCTTTCTTCTTTCAAAAGCCTATGGACTTAGCAAAGCTCTCCCCACAGATACACAGCATAACAAAAATGCTAGCTTCACTGCAAATTCGTGAAGATGGTATACTAAAATATTTGTTGTACAATATTTGAATTGATATTCACTGAACAGAAATGGCAAACGGGTAAACCCCCGAATAGCTATTAGCTAGATTATACATATATGCACATGATTGTTTTTTGTTTTGCTTTCTTTTTGGTTAGGAAAATTTCTCCTACTTCATAGGATAGACTCATATTAATATTTCATGATGGTCATCAATGAGTTCATGGCTTCATACTGCTTTGCTATATAAACAGATATGAAAAATAGCCACATATTAAAAAAAATTATGTTAGACCACTATCTTACACCATACCCAAAAATTAACTCAAAATGTACTTAAGACTGTAATGTAAGAGCTGAACCATAAAATATATGGAGGAAAGCAGAGGCAAAATAACCCATAACATTGACTTTAGGAATGACTTGGGGGACTCTATGTTAACAACTAGGGAAACAGTAGAAAAATTAAACACTCATGCAGTGAACATGAGATCACTGCAGCACTATATAAAATAGCTGAGTTTTGGAAACAACATAAAAACCCCAGGACATATGAGTGGTAATGATGATGTGGTATATATATATATACATGATGGAATACTACTCAGTTATTAAAAAAGATGAAATCTTACCACTGTGACAAGGATGGAATTGGAGGGTATTATGCTGAGTCAAATAAGTCAGAAGGAGAAAGACAAACACTGGATAATTTCACTCATAGGTGGAATTATAAAGACAACAAAGGAACTGACAAAACTAAAGCAAAACAAATCAGAATTCTGACTATAGAATTGAGGCTACTAGAAAGTAAGGGTAAAGGGAGAGGAGCAAGATGGACAGGACTATGATGGAGGATTATGGATGCTTTGGTGGTGGGCATGGTGTAATAACATACAATTAAAAATGTTTTTCTGTAAGTAAAAAATAGGGAAGTATGAAAACTGACTGAAGTAGCTAATTCTACAGATTAGAATTAAAAAATAGAAATTTCTGGGCCCTCCCTGGTGGCGCAGCGGGTTAAAGCACAGCACTGAGAATCTAAAGCCGCCTCCGCATGAGTTCGATTCCCGCCTGCCCCAGAGGTGACCACATGGTGCGGCAGACCTCTCCTGACCCGCCCGCTGCTCCCCTCAGCAGTGTACTTCATTGATCTGCCTGTCCTGTTCCCCACTCTGTCTCTGGTGAAGCCTCTCACCGCACCTGAGCCTCTGGCCTGTACCCCAGTTCTGTATGCACAAATAAATAAATCTTTAAAAAAAAAAAATAGAAATTTCTTACATCAACATCAAAGATTAAAAATAGCTTGGCTTACGCCATCTAAATCAGGCACTCACATAAATGCAAATTTTATATTACAAGAATTATTCTGAAAGAAAGCTAGACATTATAACCATTTATATTTATTTACATTAAAATTTAGATAGAAAAAAACCAGAAAAAAAGAAAATGTACACAATACAATTTTTCCATCACTAGAGGTCATAGTGGAAAAATGGAAGTGCACAGTTAGTAAAACGGATGTAAATGGCACTGTCATTTTCATAAGAACAGTCTTCTCTTTTTCATACCATTTTACTAAGATTGAAGGGTAGACAACATAACTGATGAGCTGAAATTTGCTTTGGGTGAAGTGATCTAACTTGCACGTTGTATATGTTTCCCCTGCTGGACCTGCCCATACACCAAGCTGTGCAGCTGAAGCTCAGTTTTGTGCTGTTACACAAGGCAATAGGTGACAAAACCCTTCTTGTTTGGTCCAGTTGTGTTTTATATCCTATTTCATCCTCAGGTTTAAATCTCTTGGTTCATCACTGAGTTCTACCTTAGATTTTCCCACAGGTTTTGACTGGGTCTCTGTTCCCATTTCTAATGTCTTAGGATCTTTTGGAAACACATTATCTCAGGTCCTCTCCTTGCAAGCACGGAGAAGCCAAGTGGTGAGAACACACCAGAGAACAATGTGGCTTGTTGATCACTCTGACATGCTCCTGTCAGGTAGGAGGCAAAGCCCTCTTTGGCAGGGGTAAGGGATACCCAGAGAGAAAGATGTCTTGGAATTCTGCAAAGAGCACAAACCTTTGGTTTCACATGCTATCTCAACCTTAATTAAAAACTCAAGGCAAAGTGTTTATGATCATTAATCTCATTTTGAAATTGAAAAGATAATGTCTCCCAAATAACCATTTGCAAGAAGGCTATTTCTGTGGCCTGTTAAAAATCTTATTTCTAAAACCTTGAAAACCTGAATTAAATTCACTGGTTTAGTATAAGCTTGAATGTTTCTGTAAACAATATGGATAAATCTGCTATGAAAAAGATCTCAGCTAGGAGAGAAAACAGGCAAATTAGTTAGTTTTTTTTTTTTTAAAGATTTATTTATTCATACAGAACTGGGGTACAGGCCAGAGATGCGGAGGGTGAGAGGATTCACCAGAGACAGAGTGGGGAGCAGAACAGGCAGGTCAATGAAGTACACTGCTGAGGGGAGCAGCGGGCGGGTCAGGAGAGGTCTGCCACGCCATGTGGTCACCTCCGGGGCAGGCGGGGATCGAACTCATGCGGAAGTGGCTTAAGCTTCTTAGTGCTGTGCTTTAACCCGCTGCGCCACCAGGGAGGGCCAGCAAATTAGTTTTTTTCCACTAAGTAACCAGCTGAGTTTGTGAAACCTATTACTTTTTGTTTATCATATTTGTAGCTTCCAAAGTATATATCAACATCAACAGTGGAACACTAGTTCTTCATTATTTAGGAAAATATTAGCTGGCAATCACTGGTATAAAGTAGATTCAGTATGTAAGAATGAATATTTAACCTGAGAAGTCTAGAGAGGATAGAACAGACTTAAAAATTGCTATTACTCTTGGGAAAGACTGTTAAATAACTAAAATGAATTACTGAGAGAAGGAAGGTTAATAGCAAGTCTGTTATTACTCACTCTTGAGGAATGATTTGACCGCATATCAAACTTCCTACAACTCTGAAGTTTGATGAGGATCCTCTAGTGAGGTTACTGCTCATTACTAACCTAAAAATGGAGATTACTTAGCCTATTGTACAGGTGTGAGGATTGCACAATGTAAAACCTATAATTTATTATCTACAGTTACAATAAAAAATAAGAACTAACCCTATCAATAGCTACTCAAGGTAATTTAAGCTGAGAGACTCCAGACACGGCAGCTTCCACACACTGATGTGACTGGTCTTCTTACCAGTTCTTTCTTAGCCTTATGATGAGACAATGATCACTGGGGAAGGGCACTGGTGATGCACTGGAGTGTCTGGGGGTCTCTCTAATACTACTACAGTGCTTCCTGTTAAAGCCAGAGGGAAGTAGACGAGGAGTTTCTATAAGTTTGACTGATTATTTTAACCTGGACTCACTATTTTAGTACTGCAACCGGCAAATACCTTGCCTGAAAAAGTCATAATTCCTAGGTCTGGTTAGCACTGAGTACACTCTGTACCCCCCACCCCCCAGGAAAACCAATATTGGTTTTTATTGGATTTGAGTTCTTGGAAGATTTTATTCTATCTATATCAACCAAAAATCCTAGGCATCTTGTGCCAATCTATTCCCCACAGTTAAAGTGGGATTACTCCATCGGTTTTCTGACAGAAAATTGATGAGTTGAGTAAAAAAGTGATTTCGATCCAATAGTAGACACTTATAACTGTTTCTTCTAAAGTGATTCATATATTACAAAATCAATTGTTCAACATATGGAAACATTCTCAACAAATTATTCTTTAATAATGATGGGCATAGGCAATATGTGATAAAAATTGCTATATAAGCATATTATCTGTTTAGTAAGCAAAAAGAAATGTGCTAAGTAAAATGTGGGTTAGGCACATACAGGGAGCTCCAGAGTGGCTTATGTACAACTGTGATTTTTAAGACTATTTTCATGACATCCTCGGAAACCATCAACCTGCTAATATATAATGTCTTATTATTTTCAATTTAATGTTCAAAAGGGAAAGAAAACATGCGCCCTGAAACTTATGTAATCTGTTATTTATAAAACAAATATCCAAACTTAACTTCTATAAAATACTATTTTATTTTACTTTAATTCATTACCAGCTAGTAGGTCTGCCGATGCTGATGAACTAGAAGCAGCCTGAGGTGCAGGTTGGGGTTCAGAAGCACTACTTCCAAATGCATCTACCCATTATCCATTATGCAGCAAAAAGTAAAAGAGTGTAAACAGTAAGTACAGTAAATAACTTAAGTGTTTTGCAGAGAGGCATAGACAAGACACTTTGTACAGTGAGCTAGATTCCTGTGGATATGTGAAATGACTGAATGAATTGAATTATGCTCTGACCAGTTTATTCCCTCAACAAAGAGCTGCAGAGTAGTTAAGAGCTCACACCTTTGGAAGAATAAGAGAATTTTTTTCTAAAACAAAACTTTTAGAGTAAATCCTATCACCTATCAAACAGGATAAAATTTTTAAGAATCTTGCCCAATGATAATAATAAAATAGAATTTTGTAGTTTAGAACTCTATTAAACATTACATATTTTAACAAATTTCATTTAAGTAGCAGCAGCAGTCCTGCTTAGACCTATAAGTCAAGGTTTAGTGTTATATGGAACCAGCTTTGAGCCCTTGAATGATGTCAGAGGCTGACATCTTTGTACCCATCATGGACACACATGATGCTTCATTGTGCAGTAGGTATTCACTGTTGATTAACTAACTAAGGATGGTATTTTAAGCCCAAAGCATTCATTAAGAAATTATTTGAAACCTGTATTTTCCCCTATAAATTCACTTCCAACAGAAGACATTAAATGTATCATCCAAATGAGTAGTTCAAGAGTTAATTGAATACATCTCCCTGCTTTCAAATAGTATATAAAGAGGAGGATACATTTAAATCAGACTAACACCTTCCAGTTCTCTGAAAGGATTATGAAACACTAAGCTCAACATAAACAAATCCTACATGTATGACATCTCCAGCTAATACTTTCCGTTTGGATTACTTTATCTGTTTTCACTTCTGAATTATCTAGATAATAGGTATATTGCTTTTAAGGACTTTGAAATGTTGATTTAGCCAACAGATCAGTATAACCATTGAAGAAGAGTAGAAAGAATTCCAATCAGCTCATTATATATTAGGATGAACAAAAAGTAAAAACACAAAGATTCCAATGGAAATGATGCGTTAGGTCATGCAGTTAGAATCATGTTATCTATGAGGATGGGTAGGAAGATGGCAGAGAAATGGAGCAGATCTTAAAAACATATGTATATAATGCAGCTATGGAAATGTCAGAGCCAAAAGAAAAAGTGATAAATGAAAAAGAAAATCTAAAAACTATTCTGAGGAACAGAAAGGATTCTGTAGATGAAGAACAAGAGAAATACGCACCCCCAAAAAGGTCTATCACACCTGAAGAATCCACCTTTGCTGGAGAGGCAGTGGTTGCAGGAGGTGCGGCTGCAAATGCATCCACTGCAGTGAGGCAGAGAACAGGAGAGACTGCATGTCACCCAAAGGAAAATGAAACCATAAGCGTTCACAAGTGGCTTCTTGAGATGCCATGTTTAACTCCAGGCAGTAAGATTGCAGGTAATCTTAACAAGTAAGGAAAGTACAGATGGATTTTAAAATGCACACTTTCCATGTCAGAGGTTTTAATATGAAACACTAATTTTCTTGTACCAGCTTTAGATTTGAAATGTTAACCTTCATCACTTGGTGATGGGCCAAAGAATGAGATTTTTTTTTTTTTTTAACATTAAGTTTGAGCTTAAAAGAATTCCAGACAAACCCGCATGCTGCTACGTCTCCTCTCTACTTGTAACCCCCACAGGACATCTCTGAGTGAAGGCTTGACTCAAGCAAAAGCACTCACCCGATAGGAGGTCAGCAGTGAGAGAACTCTCAGGGACAGGAGAGGCCCCTTGTGGTGGAGAGGAGAAAGCATCTTCCGAAAGTGAAACAAACCAAAACCAAGCAGAAGTAAGTAGAAAGCTGAAATCAAAGTCAAAAATCTAACAAATGCATTATCACAGGTGAGGACACAGAGCTTAATTGTGTAAACATGTAAGAAAACTAATGCACAAAAAGGGTTGCTTTAGTTTTACCTGTACCAAACAGGTCTATGCTAGGAGCAGCATCTGGCTTAGGCGCTGTGGAGACTTCAGGAGTAGCCTCAAATAAATCTAAGACCAAGAACACACAGCCTTTACTCAACTTGACGAACGAGCCTGAAAGCAACATCACTTTCCAGTTCTGAAGTGGCACTTGAGAGAATTGTGAGAGAAGCAGCCAATGGTTTCTAGAGAACCATTAAAATACACAGTATTCATGCAATAATAGTTGTGTATGCAATATATCTCAAGTACCAGCATTCAATCCACCAGATGGAAAGAGTTGAACAACAACAACAAAAAATTACCACCAAAGATATCTAGAGCAGGAGGAGCGGTGGTGGTGGTGGTGGCGGAGGTTGTGACAGCGGTGGCAGCGGCGGTGGTGGTGACAGCGGTAGTGGCAGCTGCAACGGCGGGAGCAGGAGAAGGAGCAGTGGCGGGAACCGGAGGGGCTGTACTAGCTGTAGGGGTAACTACAGGAACACTGGTCTCAGGTGGCTTCATGGCAAAGAGGTCCAGCTCAGGTGCAGCCTCTGCACTACCTTCAGACGGGGCAAAAGGGTCTTTTGGAAAGGAAAGTGGAGACACACACATCATCAGTAAGCAAACAGAAAAGAGACAGGAGTCATAACTATGGGCAGGAGACACCTGACACAGATACCGACACACTAGCTAGGCAACAGGCTGCTTGCACGGAACTACTGTCTTACTATCAGGGGGAAGTGATGAGGCTGCTCTTGTAAAGAAAATTCAGCAGGTACCATTAGTTAAGAAACAGACACTGTAAGTCTAGGATCAGAGACTGTTAGTCACCAAAACCTCAATCTATTCAATTTGGTAGCTCTGAAATTCACAAAAACATGCCAATATATTTGAACTCAGTGTTATAAGAGAATACAAATAGCATTAGAGAAAAAAAACATTAAGAGAGCATACTTGCATTGACAAAAATTGTCAATCTTGAGAAATTGTCAATTTTGATAAGTATGCACTTCATTGTCTTAATGTTTTAAGTGTCAGCATTACTTATTCAGTTAGGATGAATGGTACTTTATACTTAAAAAAAAAATTAAAACTAGAAAAAAAATGTATGGCCACATCTAACTAGAGGGGCTTCACAATAGGACAGAAAAACAACAGACTGGCTCATGACTTTAAACCCACCATTTCCTGAACATGCATCAAGTGCTGCTGCTACGGGGGTTGGGGTAGCTGGTGCGGCGGCCCCTTCTGATGCTGCAGGGGCCTCCCCAGGAGAAGCTGCAAAGGCATCTTGGGTGCAGTTTTTAAAACAGCAGAAATTAAAGGAATAAAAAGAGAAGAAAATATAGTAAAAGAACCGAGTTAAATTGCAAAGAAGGCTCCCTTATACAACATGAATTTCCTAAATGCATTTTTATAGCCCATGCACTGTTTGCAACCACAAAACAATGATTCTTTGCGCCCCTTCATGTTAGTTAGACATAAGTAGTATAACATTGACATTGCTGAGGCTTATTAGCATTCAAGGGTAACAGGATTCTCATTGTATAAGGGCTCTGAGAAGCATGTTTCATGTATCATTAGAAGTGATGGATGTGAAAATTAAAAACAAAAATAACTCATGTAATTTAAGACATTAAACTTTCATGTCCTGGTAATACTCATTCACTATGTTACTATGATATCTCTGCCTGGTGGTTTTAGCAAATATGGATAACTTCTTTAATGCCAGTAAATCAAATAAGTATAGTTAAAATTTTTATACAGGTAAGATTATAGTGTTGACATGAAAGGCTTGCTAAGAATTTATAGAATTTAATTTTCCATTATCCTTGAAAAGCATTTTCAGACACAGCCAAAGTTTTGTTTTAAAGAAATAAAGAGGATGGCACCATAATGCCTCACATCAACTTACATTGTTCCCAAATATTGTGTTGCTCTAGTTATTTGGAAAATAATTTTCAATAGTTTAAAAACAGCCTCATGGTATGAAACTGCAATTTTATTACTATTTGTAAAAAATTTCATAACATATAGGTGGCCCCAGCACATAAGTGCCCACTTATATGTGACTGATTTGTACTGGTAATTCCCAGTGTGTTTCTGACAAGTGTTTTATTTATGACAAAAAAAATTGGGACTTTTCTCAGAGACTCTATACCTTTGAAGTACAAAAGGCAAGAAGTCTTCCTCAGAAGTGACTTACTTGGAAAATGGGGACCAATACCCATCTACAGACCTGCTAGACTTTTTATTCAATCCCCAAATCTACTAAGATTCCCCCAAATATCATTCCTTTGGCTATTAAGAAGAATTTGTCAAATGTGCTTGGGAAATGTCCTATCTTCTTTCTTGAAGTTTTACAGAACATATTAGATTGTAAGGCTTTCTACAGTCCAGACATTTATTTTTCAGCTTAACCAGGCATGTTCCAGCTGATTTGTATCTGAGATATACTTTAGTAATGTTCTGAGGCCCAGTACTAAGTGGATAACATTAAATTAGAGATTTCCCTTGTGTTAAAAGGTCCTTTACAAAAATACAAATATCTCTAGAAGGGGCAGTGGGTTAATCAGTTATTGATAGCACTGATTTATTTGATCTGCTTGCTTGCATTAGCAACACTGAGGGAATATGTGATTGTAGTGTCACTTACTATCTCTATTTTGTAGATAAAAGAACAGAAGCCTGGAGAGTCTGAATGACTTCACCAAGGTCACACAGACAGTGATTGGCAGAATGAAGATGTGGTTCTAACATCTCTTTGATGTTTGTGTGTTTAGCCACTAATTTGTACAGCTATGAACTGTGCCCATCTACTGTACCACTCTGTCCTCAGTGGATGGAATAAATAAATGCCAGGTACAGCAGTGGTAGAGGTCAAATACAGACTCATGAGCTGAACTCTTTCTCACTTATGTCTAAGTAGGTGAAACCCATATGGAAAGCTATCTCCTTACAAGAGGTGTGTTTCCATTCCTGTCAGTAAGAGATCTCATTTTCAGTGCTCCTCCTGTCACTTAAAATTAAATGTTATGACCTTAATCTACTCTTCTCAAAACTTCTGTTAGAGGCAGGAGCCTCATCTCCCCACTCTTGTCTTCCTAGCTCAATAGAAAGAGACATGAATCAGGAGATCATGGGTGATTCTAGCCCAGCCATTGTCTAACTGTGCCCACCAAATGGATCCTGAGCAAGAACTCAAAGTGAAACCCAGAACAGTGAGAGATAATAAAATTTTGGGGTAGTTAAAACTTCCAGACCTAGCCTTTTTCTTCATTAATGGTAGCATTATTCACATAGTGTTAAAAATGACAGCTATTTCCAGCTATTTCTCTTACCCTTGTTATCCATTTGCAGTTTATTTCTACATTCTGCCAATTTTCAGTCATTCCATTTCTTGGAACTCCATGTTCCTGTTGTTCTAGAACTGTGGCTTCAGCCAGCAAACTTCTCTGATACCACTATAGACTTTTGTTACTTCTAGCATTCTAGGAAGAACTGTCTCTCAAATGTTTAATTATATGATTACTTTTCTAAAATATTCTAATAGCTGCAATCTTCCCCATCTGAACTACTATCCCCGTTTTTTTCTAATCACATATTTGCACAAAAGTTTCAATCACTCTTAACAATCCAAGTCACCTTTCCCATTCCTCTGGTTTCCTCAAGTCTCAAATAATGAGTCTTACATGAAATCCAGTTGGACGTGCATATATTTAAGTTCTAGTTTTTAAGGAAGGTTTGTTAACTTATTTGGTTAACCAACTTGGACTAATGAAGTCAGGCATGTGAGGCAAGTGTGCCGGCTTCCCTGTTACTCGGTTTCATGCTCACAGATACCATCTTCATGAAGGTTCACTCATAATAAAGTGACAAAGTTGACTCAAGGGTACCCAGTCTGTGTGGAGGAATTAGCATCTGCTTAGCTCTAGTGCTTAGGAAACCTTGTGTTGTTACAGACTAATGTGCTATCAATAGCAAAATTTACATGAATAAGAAATAGAATGGAAAACAGATCAAATAGAAAGGATTTGATCTTTTCATCAATATCTGTAAATTTTACTAAAATTTTAAAGCATAATACTGACTTATAATGTTGTTTTGCGGGACCACAGAAAGCAGACTTAATTTTTTAAAAGTTTACTTTAAAAATAAAGCATTTAGTGAACATAATGCTTCTGACAAAGATATCTTGATCTCTTACACTGAAATGGTTATAATGTTATGTGGGCATCAACCTAAATAATTAAAAACAATAACCATTTTATATTTCAAATTTTTAATAAAGTATATAATTAAAACACAAAATTTAATGTTTTGACATTTTATGTCAGTGAATTAAACAAGTAGCTAATTTTTATAAATGAAAACACACTATGCTTATTTCTAAAGGCATCTACTGAAGATTGCTGTGCCAGCTATAAAACATGCTGTAAATGCCTTAGAAGGATGTTTTAAAATTAAGTTATATAAACAGAACAAAGAACTCTTTATTTTACAAGAGTTCTATTACTTGCCCATTTTAGACATACTAAAAAAAAAAGATTTACAACATAACCAAATATACTTCACAATTTAAATTTTTACTTAAAATCCTGTCTCCAAATGAGTCCATCTCCAGTGAGATGACCAGAAAGGATATTGCTAAGCCCTATTTTTTGGCACTAACTTATATGCTTTTCTGCAGTACACCATCCTTTAAATTTGTGTTTTAGGGTAGAAAGAATGTCATCGTGAAAATATTTCTGAATACACACATTTCTGTGCTTGACAAATGTAGTCAAAGCAGTAATAACTGATCAACATACACAGCATAAGAGCTCAAAGAATATTTCAAAGAAATATCTTAGGCTTCACTATTCTAGAGAGCCATGAGGGAAGCAAGATGGAGTTGATATCTTTGAAGCAATTAAACTCCTCACAATTAGACTGAAAAACAAAAATCTAAAGGTATACAGATGTTTAAGCACAAAATTATTATCCATCCTACCCCCATTTTCCTTGAGTTTTTTTGGTTTGTTTGTTTCAAAGGCCTATGAGACTGCTGGCATTTTGGTGGTGGGAGAGCTGTGATGAGTACGGGGCAGGAGGGAATCCTATATTGTCAAAATCTTCATAAAGATGTGCAACAATGGTGTTTCATTTGAAAATGCAAAATAAGCAAATGTCTATGAGAAACTCCCCGTACCCAATACTAATAACGGGGGAGGGAGGGAAGGATGGGCGAGAAAGTTTATTTTATACATTCAAGCTAAAACTTTAACTGGTTGTCTCAAAAGTTATGGAAGCTTAACTGAAAAATTAATATTCTCAAGTAGATGGCTCTTTATAAAAAGTAATTCAAGAGCCTGAAAACCACCTTTTCCTACTTTTTAAAAACATTGATTCAAATCATCTCTCCAAATTCCAAGGCCAAAGATAATCCAAGTTGTTGCTTGGACAGATATGCTTACGGTTGCAAACATGGGGCATAACCCTAAGCTCTCTTTGGAGACCTCCAAATGTGAACTACTCATAACATGCTTCCCTGAATCCCCTACTATTCCCTTAAGTAAAAAACGAACTTAAGCCAGGATTTTCCCTCTAATACTTCCCAGTTTTTATACTTTCAGCCCATTGTACCTGGTCAAAAAACCAAACCTAAGTATGATAAAGAGGCCTGGTACCACCTTGCATGGGTACAGTAGGGCTGGGTATATATGGGAGAACAGTTCCAGAGCCCCTGTAATAGCAACAGCAATACATCAGGGCAGCAGCAAATTCCTTGTGCAAAACAGTGGCAACTGTGCTGTGTCCCCTGTATAGCTCATTGCCTTAGACAATGTTGGCAGTGCTCAGAGTCTGGCAGGCATGCAGCACAGAGCTATGTGACAGTGTAAGTGTATGGCCCAGGGGGGATATACTAGCTCCATCAGAGTCTGCCAAATCTCTCTACCCTCCCTCCCCATCATTTGCTTCCTCCCATTTCATTACCACATTCTCCACATGCCCTGGGCAAGATGTCCTATTATAAAATAGAAACACAAACTATGATGAATATAACAGCATTGCATGGATTTGATATAAGCACTTCTCCAGGTTTGGATATTAGCAGCACTCATATGGGAATATATAAATAAACTGACTTCAGATGATTCCTCAGGTCCAAACATGTTACTGGCAGAGTCTAGCATATCTGACTTGAGCCTACAGCTGTAAATCAACTCTGGGTCTGAATTTACATGGAAAGCATATTTTCAGACAATCATTTCAAAATCTAACCTAAACCTGTTTTCAATCAGGTTTTCTAGCATTGAATCAAATCATTTCTCTAAATTCCAAGGCCAAAAATGATCCAAGTTGTTGCTTGGACAAATATGCTTAAGGTTGCAAACATGGGGCATAACCCTAAGCTCTCTTCGGAGACCTCCAAATGTGAACTACTCATAACATGCTTCCCTGAATCCCCCACCATGTTAAAAACTAACTTAAGCCAGGATTTTCTCTCTAATATTTCCCAGTTTTTATACTTTCAGCTCATTGTACCTGGTCAAAAAACCAAACCTAAGTATGATAAAGAGGCCTGGTACCACCCCGCATGGGTATAGTAGGGTTGGGTGTATATGGGAGAAGAGTTCTAGTAATTCTTAAAAAAGGGAAAAGCAAATAGGCCCAAAGCATGGCAATGTTTGCTCTAAAACACTAAAATTAACTGAAGGTAAAAATGATACATTTAGCAAAGTTAAATCCATATGTGAAAAAACATCTGAAAAATACTCAAACACTCTGACATGATGTAATATAATGGAAGAATTTTTTGACATCTAAACGCTCAGTAATTTTAGCAATTCTGGGAGAAAAATGAGAGATAGAGCTAGAAACAGCTAACTAACCTCCAAAGAGATCCACTTCAGCAGTGACAGCAGTGACAGTGGTAGTAGTTGAGGCAGAAGCTGAAGCAGTTGCAATTTCAGCCGTTGTAGTAGGAGGGGTGAGTTCTGGTGCAAATGGATCTGAAATCTGTGCTTCAGTGGGAGCAGAGGAAAGTGCAGCCAAAGAATCTACTTTGTGCCAGAGATGGAGAGTAAATGGAAGAGAAGAAAAGCACAAAAGATATACGGGGCTCCAGTTATCAAAAGGAGAGTTATTAAGAGATCGAATTCTCTCAAAACAGAAGTTAAAAATAAAAGTTTACTCACCCTCTCCCAAAAGGTCTACAGATGTCCATTATTTGTCAGCATATGAAGAAATAAGAGATTAAGCTGAAACAATCACACCAATGTCCAAGCAGGATGAGGCACTAGCTGAAGAAATTTTAGTTTTATGTACCTTTCAAGCCATTTATATTTTAAAAAAGAACGTATTACCTGTTATTATTATGGAACATTAGAGATGGAAGGATACTCAGAGATGCTCTACACCAAGTTTCCAACTTTATAACTGGGAAAACTGGGAGCAAGAGAAATCTAGACACTTTAACAAAGTGTCTAGAGTCTTGACAAACTCCTCTCAAGTTTATTTCATCTACTTTGATTGATTTCACTGCACTATCAATGTCAATTCTAAAGAAACTATAGTTAAGTGAACTTATAGATCCTATTTACTTGATGTGTCAACTTCAGTCCAGAATACCACAGGATAGACATTTTAAGATAGCTGTGTTTTGATTACTGAACATACCAAATATACTCAAAGAATTGAAATTGATGGATTAGGTAAAAGAAACCCTAAACTAAACCATTTTCTTCTTTGTAAGTTTCATATGATCAGATCTTTTCAATATGATATATAATCTTGATATTTATCAACAGTATTTGATAACATATGAGAGTTCATTTATGTTACATAAAACTTTTCAGCCCTTCTGAGATGTTGATAATTTCTTAGTGTTCAACAGTGGGATTACCAGAGTATCATAAATTAAAAATTTATGATGGGCTATTTTACACTTTCTTTTCATTATTTGTTTATTTTTTTTACAACACTGCAGTCCCCATAGTTCTACCATCACCATATTACCCATGAACCATCATCAAATTCTCCTGTATTCTTTCCTCTCCTGTTTAGATCTCCTCCCTCCTCCTCTCTTGCTGTCTGCCTCAGATCTATGGTCAGCTTGCTAAACTTTAATTTTTTCTGGATCTTTTGTTTGATTTCTCTACATTCTACAAATAAGTGAGACCATTTGGTAGTTATCTTATTCCTTTTGATTTATTTCAAGGAGGGTCTATTCTTAATGATAATATGATTATGTTTTTGAGTTTTCTGTGAGTTCAATAGGATTCTTCTAGTTCCAGCAATATAATATGTCTCAGGGCTCATATTTGAATTCTTGAATATTGTTAGAAATAGAGTTTAATCATAAGAAAATTTTACAGAAAACTCATGAGGGAGTTTTATATATCTTAGGACTTTAAAAGCAATATGAGAACTTTGTAAAGACATTTAAAAAACTGAGATTCACAAATTTGACATAAAAAGTAACTACCTTTATCTATACAATTTGCAAGACCAAAAACCTTGTAAAGCATTTTACAGATAGACTATCATGGCTCTTCTTAACAAAATCTTACTTACATCTTTAATAACAATACTAGGGAAATATACAACACAGAGTACTATATATTAGGAACAGTCCTTAAGTTTTTGAATGTGTGTCTAATAAAAAATGGAGAGAAGAGGTCCTGCATTCACTTGGAATTAGGTTATCTCTGCTGTTATGAGATCAATATCCTGGGAAATAGATCAATATCCTAATATCCTGAGAAATAGAAGTAATTCTTCAAGCCAAAAAGCACCTGACCCAATATAATTGTTACTTCATTGCCACACATTATAAAAATATTAAATGCCGACTAAGCTGGGTCAATAGAACCCAGATAGTTTGGTTTCTTTTCTTGACATGGGTGGGAAACTTCCAGCCTGTTTCATCAAAGCCTATTCCAATATGCAGTGTAACTCAGTAGAGGAGCTAAACACTATGTGATTTGTTTCCAGGCCTGTTCTTTATGGCAGGAAATACACATTTATTTTAGACATTTAGTAAATGAGAAAGAAGACTATGTGCACTAGAAGGAGGAAGAATGAAAAAGACTTAAAAAGTATAAAAGATTAAGTTATTGTTCCTTGCTTTTGATTAGTGTTTGTTCAGATGGAAGGTGATGAAAATTTTTGCACTAATGTGATGAAAGAAGAAAGGTAAAATTTCTTAGGAAAATGTGCAAGGATTAAGGCATATTGGTGGATAATCAGTATTGGAATCACTGTTCTTGTTATCACAGGTTTTAGTTCCAAAATCTTAATATCCTAGATGAAATACAATTTATGTTGCTTAAACTTTGTTTTACGCTAAACTTTCTCTACTAGAATTGAAGTCCTTATTTTAGGATAAATAAATAAATAGCCTAAAAACTGCCACTTAAAAGGATTAAATTATATTAAAAATGCTACAGTAACAGAGTTAAATGCATGTGGAAGTAGTATTTAATTACAGATCAGAATTATAAAAATTGCTAGAAAATAGTCACTATAACCAAGGAAAAAAGAACTACAACTAAATTAAGAATAACAATAACTACAAAAAAAAACATACAGTGAGAAGTAGCTAAACTTTTAAGTTATTATGAAGATAAAATATGCTAATATATTTAAGCGCTTACTTGTACCTGGAACAAATCAAATGTTCCATAATGATAGTAATAGCAGCAATAACTAGCACTTAAGCTATAATTTGCATTATAAGAGTAAATTTCTATTGGAGAGATTTCAAATACGTGTTAGCAATTAATTTCTATTAAGCTTATTAATTCTAATAAAACCATAGCTATAATTCTATAATTTTCTGAAAGTACAAATTTTACTTCATTTATTCATAAAGAGAAAGTACCTGTCTTCCCACATCTAAGGCACACATTGGTACAACATACACACTTATTTCTTTGTGCTGAGAAATGAATATATGACAAAGGAAAAAAAAATCCTACTTTTCCTATTATGGAACCAAATACATAGATTTAAAATGTACTCTGTCTTTTTTCAGTTACACATGCTCATAATCAGCCTACAGAATGACAAATATTATAAATATTTAAATAAAATAACTAAAATATGAATTTGTTAAAGTTTGTTCACTTCATACTACCAACAAAAATATATCATTTATAATATATATCTAAAATGGTATTATCTATTAATATCTACTACCCTCAAAAGAAATTCATACACAAAGTGATAATAGCTATTGGAAATGAAAATCCACTTACTATCATTATAGTCAGATAAGAACATATAAAATTTCTGAAGAGTTTAGAATTTATATTTTAAAATTAAGTTATACAAAATTCAAAAAGGCTTCAATAATAAAAGTGGTCTGATCTTACCAAACAAGATTGAAAAAGTGTTTTCTTTTTTTCTTGCTTAGTCAAATAAATCAAAATATATTTTGTACAATATAGGATCATCTTCAACTACTACTAGCTATCTACAGGATTAATGCAAATTATCTTTTCAACAGCTGAGTAGTATTCCAGAATCTATATACAGTCAAATTTCCCTTAACAAAGTTTTGGCCAATGACAGCTATGTGTACAACAGTTGTCCTAAGGCTATATCATATTGTCTGGTATAAAGTAAGCTATGCCTTCCAGATTTGTGTAATTACATTCATCACATTCAAACAGTGATGGAATTACCTGATGACACATTTCTTTGAATATATCCTTATCATTATGCTACACAAGACATATATCATATATCGTACATTGTATCTTTATCCATTTATCCATTGCTGGTTTGCTTCTAAATCTTAGCTATTGAAAATGAATACTGAGATGAATAAACAGGTGAATGCTTCTCTATGAATTAGTGTTTTCGTATTCTTTGACTATATACCCAGAAGTAGAGTGGAGAGATAATTATGGCATTTCTACTCTTACTTTTTGAGGAATATCTAGACTGTTTTTGACAGTGGCTGTACCGATTTATAGCTCCATAAACCGGGGAACTTCCCTTTCTAATTAAAGAAGTTCCCTTTAAATACTTGCTGTCACTTGGTTCTGTTTTCTTTTTTTTTTTTTTTCCTCATAGAAGAACTAGGGTATAGGCTAGCTCCTTGGCTGGGGATTGAACTCAGGTCATACAGGTCATAATAGCCTTAGGACTTAAACCATAGGCCACCAGATAGGCCCCAACTATTGATTATTGTCTTTTGTTCATAGCAGCCATTTTCACAAGTGTTAAATGATAGCTCATTGTGGTTTTGATTTGCATCTCACCAAAAATAAATGATCATGAACATATTTTCATGTGCCCGATAGTGTCTGTGGAAAAATGTCTGTTCAGAGCTTCTGATCATTGGACAGTTTTTGCATTGTTGAATTTTATAATTTATTTATATATTTTGGATATTAACCCATTGTTAGATACATAATTTGAGAACATTTTTTCCCATGTATACAGGTTGTAATTTTATTTTGATGATGGTTTATTTTGTTGTGCATAAGCATTTCAAACTCCATTCATTTAATTTTGTTTTTGTTCCTCTTGCTGTTGGAACTGAGTTCACAAAGATTTCATTAAACCCAATGCTGAAGGATTTAGTGCCTATGTTTTCTCCTATGTATTGTATGTTGTTCTGCTTAATTTACATCTTTAATTGATGTTGAATTCTTTTTGTATTAGTATAAAATAATGGTCTAGTTTATCATTGATAATTTTTTTTTTGCATTTGGCTAATAAATTTTCCCAGAAGCATTTATTGAAGAGACCAATTCTTCTCCATCTTGTGCTCTACATGCCTTCACTATAAATTCATTGTCCATATTTGAGTGGGTTTATTTATGGGCTTGTGGGCTCTGTTCCATTGATCTGGTTTTCATTCCAAAACCATGCTGCTTGATTATTATAAGCTTTGCTGTACTAGTTTGAAGTTTGGCAGTGTGATGCAATTTAAAAAAGTGTTGTTTGTGTTAGTTCACTGTTGCATATAAAACTGCAACAGGTGTCTGTATATTGATTTTGCAACCTGGATTGATAGGATTGCCTTTAAGGCTTTGACCTGAAGGACTGGAGCAAGTATCCACTTCAGAGTCTGCAGCCAGATCCACATAGGTTGAACTTGCTACCAGCTGCATATGTGAGTGTATAACAGACACTGGGCTCCTGCATACATGGGATTAGTCTCTGGGTGCAGGACTGGGGACAGTTCCCCAGCAAGGAATAAGGTTGGCAAGTCTCCCACCTGAGAAAAGGTCTGATTTCTCAAACTAGCTCTCTTTGGCTTTAGGCCCCATTGGGATTTTGTATCATCTCACTTGCATCCTAAGATCCCATCAAGGCACTTTTGTCTGTAGGTGACTGTCAAAATTACTACTGTCATGGAAAGATCTGGCATCTCTCTAAATCTGTTCTGCCATCTTATTGCCATCATTCCCTCTCTGTTACTTCTATGAGTTATTTTTAAACTTAAAAAATCTTATTATCTTGCTAGTTTGATGCATTAAGGTATTTAAAAGCAACTGTACATTTTGAGAATCATGTAGTATTAACTTAATTTTATACTTGTGCTAAATCTGCTTTTTATAAAGCCTTATGTTTCTCCTAAATAAATGACTGAACCAGGAGTCAAGCAAAGGAGGTGAAATTCCTTTCTATCAGGATGGCGCATTTCTGATACAAATAATACCTGTGAATCAGATACAGTGCTGTAAATCAATACCTCAATTAAAAAACATAATTTAAAAAAAAATTTTGATTTTGTTTCAAATTAAGGAAAAAAGCCTGCCCATATTTCAACTGTCTTATGTCAAATACAATTCAATAAAACCGGCTTCATGCATAAAGAAATCTATGACAGAGTTTATACCTGAAAAAAATTAAGTCTGAAATGCTTCCCTTGAGTACTCTTATAAATTCATGGGAACTTCCAATTCTTTAATAACAGAAACTCTAGTGAACTGTGATTAGAAATCAGATTTTTCCCAATAGCAAAGAAAATATTACCCTTGCACCAGCTTTTAATATAAAATAAATGAGTACTTATACTTGAAATGTACATTACAGACAGAGTTTCTATTTAATACATATTTCAATCAACTGATATCATTCTTAGCATATCCATTTGAAGCTTCTAGCACCATTTTGGGTGAATCAGAAGGAAATATTTTTAATCTTAATACTTAATCTATTAAGTAATTTTAATCTGAATTATAAAAAACAGCTAAACAGAAAAGTTGCACAGCTGTCTGATTTCACTCACCTCCCCATGCAGTGGCTCCTCCAGAAGGTGGTGCTGGTGCTGGTGCTGCAGCTGCTGCAGCCCCTCCAGAAAAGTCTGGCTGGAGGTCCAGTAGATCACTAGATGGTTTGGACGTGCTGAAAGGAAAATATAATTTTAAAATCAGATCTTAAAGTTTTCTATTTGATGATATTTTAAAAAAAAATGCAGGAAAAAAAAAGCAAAGATTCAGGATCTTGCAAGTTCAGCAAGAGGACAGTATTTCGAGAGGCAGAACAGTATACATCTGATCTGCCCTGTCAAGGGTTGGCAACCTACTTTTCTAAAGGACCAGATGGTAAGCATCTTCGGGGTTTGGACTAGATGGTCTCTATTGCTACCTGAGCCAGCCCTGGTATCATAAAATAAGAACTGAACATATGTTAACATAAGAATGTGCTTTTGTTTCAATAAAACTTTATTTACAAAACAGACAATGGGCTAGACAAACAGACCATCGTTTGCCAGTTTTTACTCTACAATTAAAAAAAAAAGTTAAGCTATATTTCAAGCTATGGGTCACTCAACAAATCATATCAGAGACATTTAAAAGGGAAAACCTAAATGCCTCAAAATAAAAGGCAATTTTTTTTAAAGATTTATTTATTTATTCATACAGAACTGGGGTACAGGCCAGAGGCTCAGGGGCGGTGAGAGGCTTCACCAGAGACAGAGTGGGGAGCAGAACAGGCAGATCAATGAAGTACACTGCTGAGGGGAGCAGCGGGCGGGTCAGGAGAGGTCTGCCGCGCCATGTGGTCACCTCCGGGGCAGGCGGGGATCGAACTCATGCGGAAGTGGCTTAAGCCTCCTAGTGCTGTGCTTTAACCTGCTGCGCCACCAGGGAGGGTAAAAGGCAATTTTTAAAAGCATGTTATGTCCACTGGGTAGCACTGGAAATTTTGAGTATGACAACTGTGCTAGAAGGATACTCCAAATATTAAAAGAATGAAGACAGTTAGATAATGGTAAATTTTTTCTTTTCTCTATTTTCTAAATTTCTTTGTAGGTAAAAAAAATTAATGCATTAGATTTATCTGTAAATTAAAGAATATTAAAAAGAATAATTACTAATTATCTGTTTCCTAAATTAAGCTACTATATATTAAATTTACCTCTAAGAGGCTTTGCCTAAAAATAGCTCTATGTTTTATTATTCTAATTCAGTTAGGGCTTTGCTTTTCAAAGCTCCTCAACCTGTTGCAAAGTTTGATCCTCAACTAGTATCATCCTTGGGCCTTTGCTAGATGAAAAATCTCTTATTTACCTCACATCTATTACTTCAAAATATTCACTTTAACAATCCAAGTGTTTCATGTGTACCTTCTTGTTTAAGAAGCACTGGCCTAATGTTTAGCAGACCAGGTACTAACCTCTCAGGGTCCAGGTCCCTCAATCTTCCTTGTAAATAGCAATTCCATCTTTCTTACAGAAGACATTTTCAAATATGTGTTTTGAAGAAAAGTGTCTGCTGCTTTAAGTTTCAGAACTTCTAAAAGCATTGCCTATTTTAGATATCTCCTTCACAAATACAATAGGTCTATATGCCAGCATAGGAGAACATTATCATGAAAATTTGAATCAATACTTTTATAAGAACAATTTATCTTAGTATAGAGGAAGAACGGATTTGGTTTTACCAAGCTACAGAACTCAGCAAATAGACGGCAATGCACACAATTAATGTGGGCACAATACTCGGATTTGTTGTTCAGTTTAAAGTTGAAGTCTCCAAATACAAGATATTCATTATCAGAGTCACAGAGAGCACAAAATGAGACTAGAATATTCTCAAGTTAAAGGAACCAAAGATAGTATTGACCAAGAATTATTATTTTGAGGACATTTATGAGGTGGACTTCATTTTAGGCAGCTGTGAGGTGTCACAGAACACACAGCTATCCCCTCTGGAGGTGCCATAATTGCTACTAGGAATATACTGAGGGTCTCTTGCACCATCAGTATTTCAGTTTCTTGTATACACCAGTAATGGGCTTCAATTGCAAGTTTTAAAATTTTTTAAAGTACTGTAAGACTCACTTTAAACTTCTGACACGACTACATTTAGAATTTATTTTCCATTATCAGCTAATTTCATAAAACCCTGAGGTGTGCATTGCCCTCCCAAATGTGTAAGCACAAGTTGATTTCTGAAGCTTAGGTCTTTCTCACATTTTGAGAGGTTAAGGCCTAAATAACTGTTTAAGTTATAAAAGAACTTAAAAGTATACAAAATTTTATGCTATTAGCAGTAGATTTCATTTTGTGAAGTCATTTTGATTCAGTACATAAAAATTAAAGGAAAACCTCATCAAAATATTAAAAAACAGTTCACTGCATACTCATTAACTAACCTGACTGGGACAGCCGCAGATGCAGTTGCAAATAAATCAACCGGTGGGGATGTGTCAATAGTTTTAGCTGGTGTGGAATTAGGAGACGTAACAGTTGTGGCTGGAGAAGACTGAAAGTGAAGATGCACAACACACTCTAGTCAAATACGAATCTACAGGACACAGAACAATAGACTTTCATTTTGCAGACCCATGATTTTCCCATCAAGTATTTTTCTCATGGGAGAAAAACAAGAAAATTTGAGATCTAGAAGTGTAATAAATAATTACTATTGGACAAGACAGCTTTCAAAGCTTGAGAGTTAAATGTAACTTGTATAAAGTTGTAAAAAAAAAACACGGTATTGCAGTGAATTCTATTTGTGTATTTTAAATCAAACTATATTCTTGAACATAAAACTAGTAAGAAAGATCTTACAAGCTGCTAAATATTTAAAAAAATATCAGTTGTAGTAAATGTCGAAGCAAGATCACCCAAGACATACTAAATGTGAAGTCTTCTCAGATGCCTTGGAAATCCAGAAACCTAACCTACAAAATAGTTCACACCTACAAAATACTTCACAGAAAACAGTTAACAAGCAAGATTCCAGTCACTGATAGCCTGAAGATAGGATGACTATATCCCATTACTAAAACAATATACTCAAAATAAAACTAAAATCTAACATTTGTTGTTCTGAACTGGTTTATTTTTAATAAGGGGACTTACTACTATATCAATATATTAAATTTAATTTTCTGTTAAGTAATTATCCTAATTTTATTTCCTATTAAATTGGTGTATTTAATTCTCCATGTTACCATAAAAGAAAGATTGATGGAACATCTCCAAACTTAGCTCTATATGTGAAAATGAGATAACAGTAAGTAAAATACAAGTAGCCCAAAGCCAAGCACAGGCTATCATATATTGCTGTAACTGGACATCTGATTTTAAACAACAACTTGAAATTAAAAAAAAAAAAAACTAAAAAGAAGGATTAAGGAGACATTCTAGACTAAATTTACTGGACTTTCCAGACTAAAACACCATTTGTGTATTATCTGTTTGTCCAAGAAGAATCATATGTTATTATAACCAATAAGAATCAGATCAATAGGTACATAAGGGTCAAACATTCAGCATTTTAAGAAAAACAATTATATGAGCAGTATGGATATTGTTGCTAAGAAAACATCAATTCACCAAACTCTGTTCACCAAAAAACTTAACTTTACTAAATTGTCAAGGGAATAGAAAAGACTAAAATTAATCTACATTCACTGTGGGCACTGACAACCCTCTAAAAGAATATACATGTAAAGAAACTTAGAGAGTGATTTATGAAACACAGAAAACTCAACAACAGCTAAAAATTTACCAACAAAGAAACAGGAATAAAGGTCTTCAAACACTCATTTAAAAACTGCCTTGTAAAAAGCTCTGAAGAGATGAGAAAGCTAGGAAAACAGAGCCAAAATAACATTGCTTTTACAGTCAATACATTTCAATTTTGCCAAAATGTAGGAACAGACCATCCCTAAGGACACCAGTTTATAACTCCATTGAACACTGGTATGTTGGAATTTTCAGATAGACATAAGATTGTTTCGAATTAGCTAACAAATTTATTGAAGTAGGTTGAGAGTATATTTTTAGTTAGAAGACTTTATAAGTAGTTCATGGGAACCTAAACTGAGTGAAATTGTGGCAAAATAAGACTTGGTTATATATTTAATATAGAAGGTGCAGAAGATAAAATGTCTTTAACATAATGATTTAAAGCCCAGCACTGTGTCAGGATCACCAAGATCCTTGTTCGCTGGTCTGCTTTATTTGTTTGGCTAAACTTCTTGAGGGAATCCTGGCACTGTACAAGGCATCTGGGAAGCCCAGTGTCATTAGGATGATGCACTTATATCCGTAACAAGAGTAGCTCTATAAAGGACTTTTGGCAAAGAGGAAAGAGCATATTTATTACATTTTACCTGAAAAGTACAATGGTAAATGTGAACCACAGATGTATAGAAAAATCATTATAGAAAACTGTCTAAAAGGAAGCTTTGTGGAAATACACCCACCTACAATTGATTTCTTTACCATTAACACAAACATAGTGTGTTATTCTTTACCTGTCTTGAAGGATTGTCATTCCAAGTATAAGAAAGTGCTTTAATAACTAATAAAATAATATTTGGTTTTTTTTTAAAGATTTATTTATTTATTCATACAGAACTGGGGTACAGGCCAGAGATGCGGAGGGTGAGAGGATTCACCAGAGACAGAGTGGGGAGCAGAACAGGCAGATCGACGAAGTATACACTGCTGAGGGGAGCAGCGGGCGGGTCAGGAGAGGTCTGCCGCGCCATGTGGTCACCTCCGGGGCAGGCGGGAATCGAACTCATGCGGAAGCGGCTTTAGATTCTCAGTGCTGTGCTTTAACCCGCTGCGCCACCAGGGAGGGCCAATATTTGTTTTAATTGTAATATAAATGCATGAAAATTTCTCCTACTTAAAGAGAATTTAGTCAAAATGGAGGACTCAGTAAGGATTGCTAAATATTGGACTGAAGAAATGAATATAAAGGAGATATATGTATCTGTGTAAATGGTGAAGATATATATATATATATATATATATACATATATATCTTTTCTCAAGAAGTTGAAAATTATTTATGATTCAACAATTCAATTTCTGGGAATATATCCCAAAAAATTGAAAGTAGGGATCTAAATAGACGTTCACGCTTATAGCAGCATTATTTACATGCGACAGGCAAAAAGCAACCAACTGTTCACCCATAGATAAATGAACAAAATGTGATATATAAATATCATGGATTTAAGTGGAGGGAAATTCATTCATCCTTAAAATGTAAGGAAATTCTGATACAGATTACTGCATGGATGAACTTTAAGGCACTATGCAAAATAAAATAAGCCAGTCAAAGGAAAGGACTGGTAACAGATGATTCCACTTACATAAGATATCTAGAATAGTCAAATTAATAGAGAGAAAGTTAAGATGGTAGTTGCCAGGGAGTACCAGAGCTCAGGGGGTAACTAGGGAGCTCTCATTTAAAGGGACTAGAACTTGAGTGCCAGGGAGATGAAAAGTTCTGGAAATGGACGGTAGTTATGGCCGCACAAAAATGTGAATGTATTTTGAATTATAACCCACAAATTGTTAAAAGAAAATAATAAACAAACTTACCTTACTTAATGGAGAGGGAGCACCAGATCTAAAAGACAACCAACAAAATTAGAACTGAATAAAGACAAACACATTTGCAGAAATTTGGTAATATTACCTAGTAAAGCATTAATGTGTTTATATGCAGTTTTATTAGTAAATGGTTGTAAAAAAAAAAAAACCTTTAACCTTTTACTCAATTGTGACATCCTCCTCCAATGATTTTCATTCACTTAATCTCTAGGAATAGGAATTCAAGTTAAAATTATTTTCTGTTTATCTAGAAACCCAATTCCTTGAGTTGGCCATTATTGCCTATGTTTGTCACAAATAAGCTGTCCAAATAATAAATTTTAAAAATTTGCCAAAACTTGGGGAAAAATGCCTTATAGAATTAAAAAAAATATTTGCTGGATTTTAAAAGAAGACTTATTAATATTAAAATACATTATGATTCACTTAATTATAATTGGAACACTAAAAGGAACACTAGAATAGAAAAATAAACCCCTAGGATGATTGTGTCTGATTGTCTCAACTTCTACATATACATTCCCAATATCTGTTTCTCTCATGGCTGTTATGAAAACTCTCTGTGAAAAATATTGCCATTATGTTAGCACTAGTGGGAAATAGAAGACAACAGTAGTCTCGATGATTATTTCTGAGGCAAAATTAGTATGAGTAAAAACATTTTTTAAGATATTTTTTGTTAGCACTCAGTATGTATTATTTCTAGAAAAGTGCTTCAAAAACAACTGTCTAAACAGTTTACATTTTACTAACCTGAGTTAGTGTGAAATAAGTTAGTAATAAAACAAAATGATGGGTAAATACTTTCAATAAAAAGTTTATGTTAGAATCTTACAGATGACAGGAAGGTGTACTTATCTACAGAGAAAACATCACATGTAGTAAAAATAAAAAAATATTAACTGACTTTAGTAAATGAAAATTTTCACAATATCATGAGCTTTTGTTTTATTGACTATTATAAAAGAAATTTATATCCAACTTCATTTGCAAAATATACTTTGCTATTTTCTCTTCAAATTAAAGTTTTTAATTAAATTGAACACAAAAAATGTAAAACAAGATCACACAGATATTTTTGCCTTATAATGAGAAGAAATAAGGGTAAGACAATTCAGTTTATGTGTAGTTGGACTGTTACACTAAGAGCATGAAGAAGAGGATATATGTTTATGCTGCTTATCAGAGCTTACTAAAATGAACAGATTCACAGAGCTTTCTGTATTATAGAAAGTTTCATAAATACCTAAAAATTAAGTACAGTATAAGGTTGAAAATTTTCTAGTGAGTTCTTGGCTAATAATTTCTCCAATCCTAACATTTCCCCCCTTTCTTTACCTAAGGAAAAACAAAGATAAGTCTACATAGAAATCCAAGAGACTAAGAGTCATCTTCGCAAAGATAAAAATAAAAAAGTTATGTAACATGATTTAAGGTACTTTCTAAGATTGAATTAATGAAATTTCTTTATCAAGCAATTTTCCTGAACATATTCTTAGTGGTACTGACAAAATAAGATATGATAAAACATAAAAGTGAGCATAAACAGGAATTGTTTAATATATTTCTAAAACATTTCTAACATTTTTGGCATGACCTGTACTCCAAAGAAACATGAGGCAGCAAAAAGGATAAAATTACTCTACTTGCTATTAAAGAATATCATGTACAAATCCAAGAAAAAATATCATAAATGGCACAAAAATCAATTTGCCAATTCCCACATGAGTGGTATTACTAAATTACAATTATAGTTTCACCCTGGAAAAGGAACCAAATAAAAATTTCTGTGCAGTGACCATTTCACTCACTACACTGTTATCTTCATTGTCTCTTTAGTTATGTGTCTTCTCTACTAGTTGCTAAATTGTTTGAAGGGAGGAAACCCATCTCTTTGTTTTACATCACCAACTCTTCATATAGCACCTAGCATTTTGCACTGAAATACATTTCTGTATTATCTGAATTTAAAAATAAGAATACATTCTTATACTCATATAAAAATATAAAGTAAGCAGAAGTTCACTTATTTAAAGTCCTCATTATTCTAAAACCTCTATTGAGAGTGGCCAAGACTGTGATCCAAGTGTGTGATGCCTGAAGACATCCTGCTAAAAGCAAAAATGAGCACACCTTATTTGGTCCTGTCTTAACAACACATAACCTACTTCTTGTTACCTGTTCCTCAGATGATTTTCTATCCTACCATTGATCATTTGTCCTTGATGAAAGAAAATGTCACAATCTATTACGTAGAGATAAGAATCTATTAAAGACCTACATCTATTTTAATAACGTCAACCAGAGAATTTTAGTACATATTGAACTACAATATTGAAATCTACTCTAAATGCTAGAAATAAATCCATGAATTTTTATGATTAACATAGCAAAAGCTAAGGATTACTTCCAAGATGTTAATACAATAAGCTATCAAAGAAAAAATTTTGTTATTTTTTATTGACAACAACAATAGTTTTGATTATAAATGCTAGTCAGGAAGAATGACCATCACTACAAAAGATGTGAAAACCTATCTGTATCTTTCAAATAATTCTAATCACAATAGATATATCCTGGGTTTCCTATACTCATAACATTTAGTAAATGGATATGTAAGATAAAAATCAATTTCTCTCTTTTGCTCTGTTGAGTCACAGAGACAATATACAAAGCCATATCATACTGCATTGCATAAAAATTTAAAAATGTGTATCAGTGGTTATAAAGCACTAAATATAAAGGGTCTATATATTTTTTACAATAGACATCTGAAATTGCTTCATTTTATGCATTTATTTGACTTAGCATTTAGAATAGTCTTATATTGCTACTGGAAGACAAAGAATTTTAAGTAATAAAAAATTTTTCTAGAATTGTCTGTGAAAAATATTTTAATAAACATGTAAAACAAATATTTGATTTATAAAACCTAGAAGAATTTTATATACACTTGAGAGAGATTGTTAATCTTGATCCTAGAGATCAAAATAAGCCCTTGATGCCAGTGACCTTGGGAGAAAATACAGATGGATAAAAATGTCAGAAATCAGCTTTAGGTATTCTAAATACCAAATGTGGAATTTTAAGTTTTTTTTTTTTGCATTTTTAGTAATAATCAAATGTAAAATGTCACTCAATATAGTACTCACCCTTCACTTAAGTTCCCAGGTAAGCACAAACATACAAAGAAGAAAATAGTTACCTACTACAGCTCATTGTTTGGAGGGGAAAAATATACACATATATATGAACATATATATATAGGGAATAAGCAAAAGATAAGTTCAAATGTGGTCTTAGCTAATTCATAAAAGAAATATGATGTACATAAAATGCTTTTAAATGAGAAAGATGATGCTCAGCAAAGGATAATTCAAAACAGAAGATCATTGAGATTTTATTTCATTATTTACAGATAAATTTTCCAAAAACAATTGGCAGCAGCCACAAGGGGGCGATTTCAGATTAGAAGTGAGAGCTAATAAAATTACTCTAGCAAGCTGCCTCTGCTGCAACTGATGGGTTTAACAAGGAAAAGGTATGAATATGTGCAGTGCCTAGGGGTTCTAGGTGGGAGAAGGGGCAGAGTTGACTCTTCCTTGATGTGCACCTCGCATTGCCCAAGAGCTCTTAACTCTGTTGGACATACGTGTTTCCTTAGTTATAAAGGTCCTGCCTCAGGACCTTTTAAATCCTAGGCAACTCATTTGGCTTCCCTGGTGACATATTCAGGGTGGTGCCAGATCACTGGAAATATGTGTCTATAGTTGTGATTTCATGTTTTTTAGTGAACATCAATCTACAAAAATTGGAACATTAACGAATACAATGAAGCCAGGGCTGACCCTGAGCTGTGGTAACAACCCTGATGGAGCCAAAGTACAGCTTTGCTTGTCTTCATTGCCTGAGAAATTCCTATGATGTTACCATTGAATATTTAAAACATGTAGTAATTTTTAGACTAACTTGGACAAGAGGACAGAAATAGTACTTAGCTACTGAAATAAAAAGCTAAATAAATAAATAAATAAACAGCAAGATGTGTCTAGATTTGGGACATTGCCCAGAGAAAAGAAAACGAAGAGGCACTACAGCTGGATAGCTGTGTAAGATATAAAAGTCAAGGTCAACCTATGGCCCTTCCACAATCAATTCACAGGTTATGTCTGCTAAGTTCTGCTGTCAAACTAAATAGAATAAACATAAAACTAGTGTATATCAAAGACTGATTTCAAGCTGACTCTGTAGAGAGAGAGTTCCATTGAGTATTTAGGTGGAAAGAATAAAGTAGAAAATAATTCCTGATCTTTAGAATGAGAAAATCTCAACCACAAAGAGTGGGGTGAAGTGAGGGCAAGGGCTGGAGGTAGACACAACCCAGGGCAGTGAATGATTAAGGGCTCCTAGGCACAACTGCAGTACAGACTACAGCCTGACCAAGGCACAAAGATTGGAGAGCATTAGGTCTTGTGAACCGACAACTTTGATACCTGCTGAAGAGAAAAAGACAAATGGACTCTGGACGTATCTTCATGCAATAAAGAAAAATAGTAAAAAATGTACATGACTAAAGACAGCGGTATGAAAATATACTAAAATTGTACTTTTCACTGCTTGGTTACTACACCATGAAAGGATCTCAGCATTTATTGTCAGCAGTGGTTCAAGTGGAAAAGTTTGTGTCTGGAAAACTATTCTTAATCTACTAATTTGCTGCATTATCTGCAGAGATCACCTGGTCTGTATATAAAGTTATACAGTCCTAAGTTAATTCAAAGTTTGAATTAAGAAGAATTACAGTAAATCATACTCTGAAACTGTAATACTCTTATTATTGCTCTGTAATAGTATAAGTTGAACTGTAATAAATCTCATTCACATAAAAAATGATGCTAAAATGCTTCATGTTGTTTATAAAACACAGCTAATGCATACTTGTTTCCAGGTTTCTTTCCTTCTAAGGTATTTAGATGCTGCTCAAGGGTCTCCATAAGACTGCTGGGAGCCTACAAGAAGAAAATAAAATTAAACATCTGCATTGCTTTCTTTGGAAGTAAATACACTGGCACAACATTGTAACGTTGTATGGTGGAGTTCTCTGGGTGGATCTTAACACATACGAGCTAATTTCATTCTAGGTTTATTGCTATTTAAATATTTCAATTTCACAGAATCTCAGAGAGGCCCATATTATATATACTTATGTCTACTGCATAACAAATACATTACAGAGCAGTTTTTCAGTGCCGAAATTGTGCTCACAGACATTTTCTAAGCTATTACTGTATACTTAATTCAGTAAACTTGATTAAATCAAGCTCACCACACATTTCCACAAGATTCCAGTGAAAGAAAAAATAGGTATTTGCAAGCATAATGGTGTTAACTTTATAATAATTTGTAATAAATTACTATATATTGGAAGGTATTTACATTTAACTCAAAAAGTATCTTAAAGTTTGTTTTTTAATAGTAGTTTAGGCAATATAAAGTGATGGCATTTTACTGTAGCATAATAGGAAAAAAAATAGGTTCAGACAAATATTCTACCCCTTCTGTTCCTTCAACACAGGAAATTTAACTTCATCTTTCTCAAATAATTTGAAATCAATTCAGAAATTAAGAGCAGGGTAGGCACTCAGGGAATATGTATGAATGAAATAAAGATATATTTATAGATATACTTACTTCTGACAATTGTTTTTAATGAAATTATTTTGACAGACTTTATGCTAAATGCTAAAGTAATTGACAGAATTAAAAAAATCATAGAGCTATACATTTTACATTGCACATAAATGTTAAAATGTAAAATTTTAAATATTAAAATGTTTTAATGTTGAATGTTCAGGGTATTTATTTTCATTTTACAATAAGACAGCCTTAACAATGATGTATTTATATATGTAATTATGTGGTTATTAATGTAAGTTACCAAGTGAACCAAATATATAAATTCATAAATATAAATTACTAAGTCAATAAAAAATTTAATTTTGATAAAGGTAGCATAGAAAGGGAACAATCCTGTGAGCATTATCTATAGAGAAAGGAAAATGTGATTCCTATAGAGTAGGAAGGATTGCCTATTAAGAGGATATAGTGAATTTGCAATGTTATAAAACTAAAATTTAAAACTATTACTCAGATGAAAGTAGATCTACTCAATAAGTCAGTAAAAAACTGGAGTATAACTCTAACTTTAAAAACTAAACTTTTATGAGATAAAGGAAATTTTGCTCTGTAAAACAAATAGTGAACTATAAATATATGCTCATTAAAAAAGCCATTGCCATCTTAAAAAGAATAGAAATAGCTGTTTAGATGAACTGACACTTGGTAAACTCCAAACTCTACTCCTACTATGACTGCTGCTGCTGTTTCTACTACTACTATTTATCACAATGATAGTGCCTAGGAGGCTTGGTCATGTAATTTTCAACTTCTCATATTTTCACAGAAAGAAAAGCAAAATCAAGTTATAGAACCTAACATTTCTCCAGCAGCAGACTCAGTTTCTCCAATATTAAAAGTAATATAAAGGAAATGTGATTCTATGCCAAATTTATTTTTTAATGTTATTTGCAGTCACAGAAAAATCATAAAAACAACAACAGAAGAGGTAGTATTTCTCCAGTAAAATTTCTTAGTTACCTTTAATAAGACAAAAACTACAAATCAAGAAGAGAGTATAGTTTCATTCTTTTTGTAAAGTTTCTTACTAATTTAAGGGAAAAATTAAAAAAAAATCACAAGTTGAAAGAAATCTAACCAAAAATTTGGATAATAAAAGTGACTTTTATTTGTAAGAAGAATTGTTCTGTAATATATTGTGCATACAATTAAGCTTGGAACATCTCATCTAAGAGGTTTAAAATTTATATTTCTTATAAGGAAATGCAAAACCTAGTGGAAATAAATATCTCAAGTGCTTTTGCTTTTTAGCAGGAACAAACAGAAACATGCTTTCGTCTAGTCCTTGTCTAGATGCAATAGCCACATCTGGTAAGTAGAAACTATGAACTATGAGTATGCCTCCACTGTAGTGTAAGGAATTTAAAATAGCAACGTATAATTAGCAGTACCTTTAAGTGGCTTTTTGTTTTTTAAGTCAAAGTCATAGACCAATCAGTTAGAAATATTAATCCAGAGAACAAGTCAACCTGTAAAAGCTAATAGATAACAGCAATACTTATGGCTACTGATTCATTAGTGGGACAGTTTTTCAAAGGAGATTTTTCTTTACCAGTAGTCCTCAGATCAATCGGAATTCCTGACATCAAAACCAAAAGGGTTTTTTTTCCATAAATGGAGATATTTTAAATTGAAATACATACATACATATATATACAAACACACACACACACACACACATCAAACAGGATATAATATGTTGAAAGTCCCTTTCTTGAAATAAATTCACAGCTTATTGAGAGTCCAGGATGTCAGAGGAGGCATTCATCTATAATTCAGATGCTTTCTATACTAAAGCATCTTTAAAACCAAAAATAAGGGGAAAAAAGCAATCAACAGATCATTCAAATTTTTGATCATTAGATCTAAGAAACTATTTGAAAGCATTAAGAACTGTTTCAGTTCTAATATCACATTCACTTTTAACCCAAAACAGATCTTATGAACATTTAAAAATGTCATTGAAAGTCATAAATCATTTATGTGCAGTTATGCTATTACATGCACAATTTAAAAAGTTACATATCACCACACTGGTATTTACTGTGCCTTTTCCAACCTAAAAAATAGCCATTATATCCCTCGCTTCCATTTTGCTGCATCTAATCCTTTTTCAGTTACAAGCATCCCATTCCCACTCCTATCAATGGGCAGCCCTCAGATTTCCATCTCCTCTATGATTTCTTTAATGTTGGAACTTTTTGTTTATTGGCCTGTTTAGATTCAGTGCTATGGTGGTCACAATGAAGCCTGGCAGAGAGCAGAACTTTATGACACATTGTGGAGGTGTTAATTGGTTCCACACAATGTGAAATTTCTGATAAGTCTCCATATTCACTCTAGTCTGTTATTTGAAAAACAGTTCACATTTCAGCTGAGATCTGACCATCCTGTCATAGTGGGCCTAGTAAATAAGCCATGCTTACTAGGAGATCCCCAGAACTATCACTCATCTGCTACAACTGCATTTTTGAAAGAAAGATTATTTTATATATGGAAATTTATCAACTTTTGGGGAAGAGGGGGAAAATGCAGATATATGATATCATAGTTTTCCATTTCCATGTCCTTCCTCATAACCAGAATATGTTGATAAACAGAGAACAAGCAGAAAGAACAGTTCAAATGTACTGATTATCATACCTACAAATAGTCATGCTTAATAGATAAAACATTTCTTAAGTATTAATTGAGGCTTTCTTTTAATTTAAGTTCAAGAAAGAAAAGATGAGCTTGAACAGTAACTTCACTTGAGATTATATTTTAAAGGTGAGAACAGCTTTCTATTATCTCCAAAAGATACTAAATATCTAAAAATAATACGTAACCAGAATAATTTCCAAAGTATTTAGTAGGCATAAATTCAAAATACATTATCTTTTCACAAGACTATGAGTCTAGGTAAGAGCATTTAAGACAAGCTACAGTATAATAATTTCATGTATACAAAATCTTCTATCAGAAAGTCACTTACCTGTGTGAGGTCAGGAATGTCACCTTTATCAATACCAACTTGCTATGGATTAAAAAATATAAGATTTTACTTAGTGAGAATTTTTTAAAAATTAAGATTTTTGCACTTCAGTGAAGATCACTCACAGAATTAGTGACAACCACAATTCAGTCTTGACAAAAGGTAATTAATATCATGTATCGATCTTACTTTTAGCATAGCTGTTCATGTTTCCCATTTGGTATAACAATAAATACTTCATTAACATAGGTAGATACAACAAATGTGAATAACTTTGTTAGCTCTCCAAAATAAAAGAACTTAAGAAACTAAAGTGTAAAATTTAAGATTTCCTCATAAGATAACTATCACAATTTCAATTTTCTCACTTTATATAAATGATGACATTGAGTCTCAAAGAGATAAAGTGGGCTAAAACATGGTCCTTCTGTGAGAAATGAAGTGATTTGACTATGCTGATGAAAATGTAGAGGCAACCATATGAAGCATATGTCTGGACAACAAAGACAACTTGCAACCGAAGAATTGAAATGATCCTTGTGTGTCAATTGCTGTACTAACTTCTTTCCTTTGCCCTTTTCTTTTTTATATATATGATTTATATATATATATATATATATATATATATATATATATATTTACATCATTGCTTATTTGTAAAATGATTACTTTCTCCTATCAGGTGTAGTTCCTGTAACTTTCCCACCACCAATACATTCGTGCACCATAACCAGAGTCCTTTGTGCACTTCCCTCCTGTTCTGATCTCTCGCTCTCTCCCTCCTATGGAATATCTTTGATTTATAGTTTTCTGTTAATTTGTTCATTTATTAATATATTTTTCCTGATCAATTATTTGTTTCCCTATATTCCTCCTATAAGTAAAAAACATCTGATATTTTTCTATTTCCTTCTGACTAATTTCACTGAGTACAATCCCTTGTAGCTGTATCTATGCTGTGAATGGCATTTTTTTTATTGCTGGATAGTATTCTTTTTGTGTATATGTAGCACATCTTGTTGATCTTGTTATTGCAGTCATCTATTTTTGGACATTTGGGTTGTTTCCTGATGGTACCTAGTATAAAGAATGCTGCAATAAACATAGTGGTGCAGATATCCTTTTTTAATTACTGTTTTTCTATCTTTTGGGTCGATTTCTAGGAGAGGACTTGCTGGGTCATACAGTAGCTCCATTTTTTTGTAGTTTGAAGAACCTCTACACAGATTTCCATAGTTTTTGGACCATTTTGCATTCCCACCAGCAGTGTAGGAGAGTTCCTTTTTCTCCATGTCCTCGTCAACATTTGTTGCCCACTTTCTTAATATGTGTCATTCTCACTGGTGTAAAGATAGTACCTCAATGTGATTTGATTTCCGTTTCTCTGGTTATAAGAGATTTTGAACACCTTTCAATATACCTCAAGGACATTTACATTTCCTCTCAGGAGAAGTGTCTTCTTTGCCTTTTCAATGTCTAAAGAGGGTTTCTCAATCTTGAGATAACATGACATTGTTGGATACTATGTTAGAGGATGTCTTGTGCACGTATGACCAGCAGGCCAGTAGCTTTCCCCCACTTTCCAGCTGTGATAAAATATCTGCAAATATTATCCCCTAGAGAGAAGTGTGGAGCAAACTAGATCCTGTGTTGAGAATATTGACTTTCAGCTTTCTAGCTAAAATCAGACTGGAGATTCCTCTAGAATTACAGGCTTTATCTTCTAATGACTGTAGCTTATTTTTTAGGGAAGCCACTAATGCTGCCTTAAAATCACTCATATTATTACAAAATATGTGAATTAAAAACTAAGGCAACTTCATATTTTAATACTTCTTTAGACGATCCATTTCAAATATTTATATAAATGAAGTCAGCATGATGTTTTCAAATTAAAGCATTACGGGTCTTTAATTTTGGGATCATTTTGGTAAAAGGTGATGCTTTTCATGAAATGAATAGTTCTGTAAAAGACACAATTTGGGAATTCTTTTGCATTGATTTTTTAATTTATCGTCTGAACTTCTGAACCACAATTGAATTGGAAAATCAAAATGAAGTGTGATTATATTACAGAAATAACATCAGTTTCTGTCTGCATATATTCTGGGAGAAATAACTCCTACGATTTGGTATTTACCTTGGAATAGCAAACTAAGAATAACTGGATTCTATAAAAGGGAAGTGTGGTCAGCAAAAATGCTTATAACCCATAAAACAACCATTTTACAAAGTTTTAGTTGTTTGTTTTGGAGACTTCAGTAAGAATTCAAGTTCAAAATATGAGAAGTCCGACATTTTAAGCAATGTCTCCGGGAAGTTTGAGTATTTCTATGTAATTGTTCAAACACTCTACATTTCTTTAAATATAATGGACAACTTATTTTATCTCCTGCCAAATAGCATATACTCGCTATGAATTCTATTTTAAAGCTGTGCTTTTAAACATTGAGCTATTTTGAAAATTGCATTTTAGAATTCTTTTACTCAATTTTCTGGCAAATGATACTAACTATAATGTAGTTACTAGGTATGCATCCATACAATTATATACTTTATAAGTACTGCTTGGTAGAAAGAGAAGTTTTGTACATTGGTTGAAAAATTATCTGTATTTACAAACCATAACCAGACCATCAACACTGGTATTCAAAGAATTTGTTTTTAAATAATGAACAAGTAATTTAAATGTGAAAGAAAAGGTTACAATTGCCTCACTGTTGTTCAATGTATGTTCTATTAAAAATAATTTGTAAATTATATTGTAGTCTACAAAAAGTGTTAGTTATAAAGTTTTAATAAAACTAACGTATTTATTATTCAATTATTTAAGGGAAGACTCTTAAACTGGTATCTTTTTCCTGTTGTTTCCTCAAAAGGCTGAACTGTACCTGTGCTAATATGAGGTTCTCAACAGATACATAATAAACTTCTATATAGAAGAAAATTTCACAAAAACAAACAATAAATAAAGGCCACATTATCCATGAAGACTTTAAGCCCATCCGTATAGAAAGGTGATTATAGAAAGGTGTACCTCATATTGTCACTTGTCCAGCTCCTTAGGACCTTACTTATATATAATAACAAATAGGAAAATTAGAAGTATGTGCACCATAACTTAGTGAATAATGAAATAATCTTCTCTGGGTGCTAAAGCATAACTGATATTTTCACAGGAAGAAATTAAGCAAATTTTATTAAATTATATTGATAATTAGGGTTAACTATGGAAAAACCATATACAGCAGCAAAATGTCAAGATAATATCCTTTCTTAAAAATCACCACCTGTAAATCCATAAGGAAATACACATGAACAGGTTGTAACATCTTCATAATTTAAATAGGCTGATCTTTAACTTTAAATTCACATATTAAATACAAAGATTTTTATTCTGATTACAAATTATAGGGCTCAAAGATGCAGAGATAGCAATTTGCAATATTATTTTGGTCTCATAATTTGTGATAATTCTTACCCCGAGAATAAATGAATTGTAAACATAAGGTACGAACTAAGTACTTTTGAAATTGTGTGTGTAAATGTCCGTTTTCTTTTTCTCAAAATGGCAACAATAGCAAACACATGGTGTGAATGCCCCATGTCCACAGCATTGCACACTTTGCTGTTGAGCCTCAAAACTCTGCTCATTCCAATTAGCCATAGTAATCGATTAGTTGACATGTAAGATAAAAATACGTTGCGCATTTTGCCAAAGGACTATAATTACAATGTCATAGTTCCTAGTATCAGTATAAATCAATAACTGGATTTTATAAGAAAAACACCAATTTACAGACAATCTCAGGAACACCAATTGTTTGGTGACATAGTTATTTTTATTAGGTATAATGAACTCCTTAAGAAACAACTTATAAACTTTACAACATCATACTTTTCTGTTTTATTTCTTCATTGTTCTTAAATCACTGATACAAGTAAGAAAGATTTTATGATTGTCATTTACATAGAGGGACAATGGACAGATTTTTATAAAGGTTTATTTCTAGAAAGGAAATACTTCTTAAATGAAAAATAGCTACTAAGTGGGATGGAGGAGTGGACCATCTCCCATTGCAGTAAAGTAATTCATTCCTTTTATTTGAACACAGAACAATACTGTGACACAAGGACACAGCTATGTAAGTACAGCTGAGAAAGAAGTTAGATGAGATGACTTGTAAAGCCATTTCCAATGCTAATATACTGTGACTGCATGGTTGAGTGTCTCCCCCTAGATTGTAAATCATGTTATTTACTCCAGATACCTGAGTTGCTATTTTACAATGACAGACCCAACAAAGTCTCATTTTACTTACCTCTGCAACTTTGAGAAATTCAGACACTCGTGTCATTCTGGTTAGAAATCGTTTGTAAATTTCTAGAGCATCTTTGCATTGTCCTTTCTTCATTTCAAAAAATTTTTCTAGAAGACATGGATAACCATTTTGAAAGAGTGTTATATTCAATTTTCTTCTAAGCTTATGTCAATACTATTACTTAATACATTAAAAATGCTATAATCAAAAAACGATTGACATTAAAACCTGTATGAGGTATTAAAGCACCTAAACATTAACAAATGAAATTCTCTAAAATGCCTTACGGTCTAAGGCATCTCATATGAAACAATTTAATTAAAATACAATTAAGGGCCATCCCTGGTGGTGCAGCTGGTTAAAACACAGCACTAAGGAGTTAAAGCCACTTCAGCATGAGTTCGATCCCAGCCCCAAGTTGATCCACATGGCGTGGCAGACCTCTCCTGACCTGCCTGCTGCTTCCCTCAGCAGTGTACTTGTCGATCTGCCTGTTCTGCTCCCCACTCTGTTTCTGGTGAATCCTCTCACCGCCCCTGCACCTCTGGCCTGTACCCCAGTTCTATATGCATAAATAAATAAATCTTAAAAAAAATACAATTAAAGTAGAAGAATATATGAACCATTAGGCAGGCCAAATTCAGAATTCAAATATCCTATCAATTTGTTTTAGAAAATAGCATCAATTCTTGCTGATAACAATCTTAAAAGTTATGATTGATTTTTTTTAAAGATTTATTTATTTATACAAACCTACAGACCTGGGGTGCAGGCCAGAGTTGCAAAGGCAGTGAGAGGATTTACCAGAGACAGAGCGGGGAGCAGAACAGACCGATAGAGTACATTCCTGAGGAGCAGTTGGCAGGCCAAGAGAGGTCTGTCATGCTATGTAGATCACCCTCAGGGCAGGGATCAAACTCATGCTGAAGTGACTTTAGCTTCTTATTGCTGTGCCTTAACTCACTGTGCCACCAGGGAAGGCCCAGTATGACTGATTTTTATTAACATTCTATTCTTACTAGTTCACTACAAATCTATATGTACCTTGTATATAAAGGCAATAATCTGTAGACTTCCCTAAATTCAATAATTTTTAAAATGTGCACAGTCCAATTAAGTTGATAGTTGCCTTAATTTGATAAATTTAAGTTAATATTTAACTATGTCTTTTTTCTTTCAAACATGTGTTCTTTGGTTATAAAATAGTAGTTTTATGAAAAAACATTTGGTTTACTCAACACTTCATGACTTCTTAAGTGATAATTGTATACTCTTTCTCAACCACTAGTTCTCTTCTGAACTTACAGGATTAGGTCTTCCACTAAAACATAAGTATGAGAATGTATTTTCTCATACATCTTTTTAAGAAAACCAGAACTTTCCCATGTTTCCAGACAGTCCCTCACCAATTCACGCAGCCAATTATTACTGACAATGCAGACGGAGGCCTAGTAGTTCCATGTCTACTGACAATTCCTAGGGAACTCTGGATCATAACTGATGACTTAGTTGTATAAGCATTTTATATTCCCACATTGTTAAAAGCATATTATTTTTATATTTTCTAATGCTGGAAAGTTTTCATTTCATTCACCATGCAATTTTACTACTTCAAAGGTATTCTTAATTTTCTCAAGAAAGTTTTAATATATAATTACACAAAGAGCTAATTTGTGAATGTAGTTACTCATTACCTTCTGCTGATAGTCTTTTGATAACTTTACTTTTAATATGGACCTTTCCTGTAGCTATTCAGGAGAAGGAAAAAGATCCAGGAAACAAATATATAAAGTTTTGTTTTTATTACTATTATTTACTAAGACGTAAGAGAGAAGTGAGTTTTACAGAATACCCAATAAGAGGATAGAGTCACTGTGATCCTTCACCCCCACTGGTGTACTTGCATCACTGCAGGAGGCTTAAATTCTCGGTACTAGCTTTCAGCAATCTCCTGGTCGTCTGTTGTTCCAGTCCTTATCTCCTAATGCTACCAGCACTAGTGCTCTAGGCATTTAGGAATAGAGGCATTAGCCTATGGAGCAATAGACACCTAAGGGGCTTGGGTAAATAACCCAGGATTATATCCTGCAAGTTGCAAATGTAATACAAAGCCAATTCATCAAGACAAGAAAACCATAAAAACTAAAAATGAAGAGACAAAGGAATATAGCACCAGTGATGGAATAAAAATAATCTGGAGAAGTCTCAATCCAGCATAACTGCATGATCTGCCTGAGAAGAAGTTTTAGGTGACAGTTACAACTATATTTGTTTAAAAAAGAAAACACAATGGGAAAAAATAACAATGACAAAAATATGAGAATACTTCAAACAGAATTAGTGGGCTGAAAAAATAGAACTGAATTAAAATATATCATAGAGGACCTTAAGAGTAGATAGTTGCAAGTAGCTGATACAATCAATGAACCTGAATATTCAGTGTAGAAAACACAGGCCTTACTATCTGTGGTTATTTCCAACCCACAAAGCTCGAGTAGAAATACTCTGAAAGCAGCAGAGCCCCGAAACTAGTTTCTTGATCTCTACACAGACAGATGGGTAGCATTTTCCTAATGAACTTGAATATATGGTCTGCATAAAATGAATGGACTGTAGAGATTGACATGTTACCAAAACGTAATCAGGTGATAACTGCTATTGGCAAAGACCCAGATATGTCTTCCACACCAGTATAAAATCAGCAGTTTCTGACACCTGATGGGCAGCTATCATTTTAGCACATTCTTTATGCATTATCTAATAAAAAGTGCCTGTCAGAGGTAGCTTTTTTTTCATGTGGCAGGAATGCAAGCATACCCTCACAGTGTTATTTCATGGATATCAACCTCTTTGGCTACTATAAGCCCAAGGAATATCATATTGATAAAATCAGCCTGTTTATACCTAATGTGCAAGAATTTCAGATATTTAAGCCCCTAGTAAGTCACATGCATGTTCAAAGGGTAGGAGATAGATCTACGAAATTTCAAGAGATCTGCTACTCCAATCATTACTGAAGGACCAAAAGTCCACTCCATGGAAAAGGTACATTGTTTCACCTAAAATTCCCTATAACTAACACGTCCGCAAAAGTTTGCTGAGTTTTCTTGGTTGGGAGATAACAAATCATACACTTAACATAGTATCTGGTATTTTATCAGACAAATAGAGTCCATCCAAGTCAAGTGAAGGCTCTATAACTACTCCATGCTGGAACTACATGGACAATTGTTTCAGCAGATCTATTGGTACCCAAAATGTCAGCTGCAGGTCCAGTGCTACAGAATGGCTCTGGCACACTCCAATAGGAAACGACAATAGAAGCTTCCAGTGTTTGGAAACAGAGCCATGTCTTCAGATAGTAACTAATCTCCTTCTGGAAAGAAATAATCTAGCTTGCTGCTAGGTACTAAGATTCTAACCATATAATACAGAGTGAACACACTTAAAATGTAATCTAATAGAGCAAGTCAGAAAGTGGGACAAGTACAAGAAATCCCTATCAACAAATAGAATTAGATAAAAGACCAGACTCCAGCAGATCCTGAAAAGCCTTGCAGGTCTCATGACAAAATGCTCATATTCTCAGCACACCTACTCTGTTGTACTACCATTTCTCCTGCATATCGTGCCTGCTGTTGTCTGTAGAGTTCTCATGAGCAGCTGACTAAGGAAAAAGGTTTGGCAGACTGGTCTCAGTAATGACGGGAGATAAACTGGTCCACGTTGGTAAATCTATTCACAGTTTCCATTTCTAACATAATAGATACTGTATTCATCAACCTCCTAATATTGAGAGCCTTTTTGTGGTGTGTGCCCTTTGGTTTACATTTGCATACAATGAACAAAGGTTTAGCAATAGTTTTTCATGCTGGCACCAATTTAAAGTGGCTTGCTGAATCATTATATCTCCACAAAGGTGTGACCTTGACAGAGATCTTTTACTGGAGGCCAAAATTTAAGCAGTATATCTATATAAGTTTCCACTTTATGTTAAAGGACAGTTAGTGAGGAATATGAAACTACACTGAAATATAAGCATATTAACTATGAACATAGTAAATACAACAATAAAACTGACTTAGCTTGGATGACTCAGTACTTGGGGAAAACAAAATTGGAAGTTTGGTGAAAGATGGCCCAGAGAAAAGGTAGTGAGTATACCTCTTCCAAAGGATAAAGAACTGGACATTGTTCATTGTATGCAAATGTAAATCAAAAGGCACACACCATAAAAAGGCTTTCAATATCAGGAGGTTGCTGAATAACTCCATTATGCTAGAAGTGGGGGCTAAGAATAGATTCACCAATGTGGACCAATGTATCTGCTATCTTACTGAGACCAGTCTGCCAATACCTGAGGTCAACGTCGAGCTTCTACCATAGCACCATATTCCAGGAAGACCAGTCATCCAGCAAGGAACAGGTTAAGGATTAATTTCGCCATGGGAGCAAGCAGCAATCTCTCTCACTGTAATAGATGTTTTTTCCTGGATATGGATTTGTATCTCTTCCATATTGCTCGCCAACACCACCATCTGTAGAATTACTCATCATCACGGTATCTCACACAACACTGCCTCTACTGCACCAGAAGTGAGGCAACAGACTGACCCACAGAATGCATATCTTACCACAAATCCCATCCCAACAGTAGCTTGCCTTGTATAATGTTAGAATAGCCTGCAGAAGATTTCATTTCACACCTGTTCCTTCAGAGTATACCTTAATGGAGGACTTTGGGGGACTGGTGGTGGGCAGGGCGTGAAAGTATACATCTGTAAAGGTTGGAACTTACAACATCCACGGTGCACATGACAATGTTAACTTACTTAACTTCAATAAACAATTTGGAAAAGAATAAAAGGAATGTATCTTAAGAAGTCAGAGCTTCTAGTATGTTCTGAAATAATAACCAGTATAGGGTGCATTATTTACTCCAGCAGGAGTACATGAGTCCTGGGACCCAGGGGTCAGACTGGCCTCTCTTACTATTACATGGCAGAGATTTCAGGTTCCCTGCATATCTCCAGGGTTGGCATCATGGGTTGTTGTTAGCATCATGAAGCAGTTACTTGTTAAGAGACTTATTTCAAGGAGTAACTGTTAGAACCTACTTCTGTGATTCTAAAATTTTATAAGCACCAAAACCAGTGTACGAATTCCCTTGAGGCAAAAAATCCAGTGTTTCTCATTTTTGCACTTCATTTTGATTGCCATTAAAAATACACAGAAAAGGCCCTCCCTGGTGGCGCAGCGGGTTAAAGCACTGCACTGAGAAGCTAAAGCCACTTCCGCATGAGTTCGATTCCCGCCTGACCCGGAGGAGACCACATGGCGTGGCAGACCTCTCCTGACCCGCCCGCTGCTCCCCTCAGCAGTGTACTTCGTCGATCTGCCTGTTCTGCTCCCCACTCTGTCTCTGGTGAATCCTCTCACCCTCCGCATCTCTGGCCTGTACCCCAGTTCTATATGGATAAATAAATAAATCTTAAAAAAAAAAATACACAGAAAAAATATGACCTGAGTGATCAAATAGTTGATTTTATATATGAAGTGTGAAGTACCACATCTTTGTATTCTGATAAAGTATTTAAAGACATGGGAAGTCCTACATACCAAGTAAGTTAATAACTCCATCATTGTAGCAAGCAAAAAGTTTGATTAGATCTTTGAAAAGAAGCATAAATGCAGCATTTATGACACCATTTGTTAGTTCATTTGGATGCACCTAGAAAAAGATGAAAATTTAATAGGTTAACTGCTTATCATCAAATTGTTATTTTTCTCAAAGCACATTTTTAAATTACTTCAAATGACTACTAAGTGGTTCATTCAAATTCAACAAATGTTAAATAACATTTAGTAGCTCTACCAATATAAAAAGGTGGACTGCATTTTTTATTGAATTTAAGTCAGTGAAGTAAGTCCTGTCAATTATAATACATATATACATCCATTCGATCTAAAATCAATCAAGTCCAATGTTTGAATTTTATTGCCATGTTATGTTATATTCTATTACTTCCTCCCTGTGAATGGTTTTTATGGAAGGATTCAGGCTTCAGTGACTCGGCAGGAAAACACAACATGGGGAATAGATAAGTTAGCCAGCTAACCCTAAAATAAGTCCTGAGATCCAGCATTCATCCATCCACTGAAGACTAATAACCAACATGAAAAATAATTTCTCCATAACCCCCAATTCTTGTTCACAACTCCTCAAACTCTGTTCCATTCCCTTTATGACTTTTTCCTTTAAGACTGAGTCCTTTTTTTAAGGCAAGGAAAGCAAAGAATAAATGAATAAAAAAAATAGAATGAGAAGCAATTCTATAGATCCCTACTGAAGTCCTTACTCCAAAGTCTTTCAAACAACGTCACAATGACTTGCTTTTACTGAAATTACACAGGAATTGGGTGCTGTGACCATGATTCAAATATAGAGTAAGCCACATAGTCTTAACAGAGATTTTAGTTAGTGAATTAGCTGTGGAAAATCTTTACTTAAGGCAATCAAAAAACAAGAGGAAGGAAACCTTACAAATCAAAAATATTCTGTTTTTATATAGATATGTTTTAATTTAAAATTATTACTTTGCAACTGCAAATTCATATGCAGTTGCAAGAAGTAATATAGAGAGAAGCCATATGCCATTTACCCTACTTCTCCCATTGATGAACTCCAAAATTATAGTATAAGATCACAAGCAGGATATAGATAAAAATAAAATCTACTTAATTTTTTTTTCAGACTTCTTGAGTTTCACTTTGACTTATCTGTGGCTATTTTTGATTCTATACAATGTTATCACATGTTTAGGTTAGAGTCTTTACTGCCATAGTTAGGATGCAGGTGTGGATTTAAGAGATTTAAGAGATAACTCGTGTAGGAATTACCAGGAGGAAGGAATATGATAAACCAGAAATAATCCTCATTGGTAGATGATACATTTAAACAGTCCATCTGGTGGTTTCTAACAGTAGGTCAAGTTATTTAATTGTCAGAGGTGCATTTTACAACCACTTCAGCCTGTTAAGAACAATAAAAATGCCACTAACCTGCTCCAAACATCAAGTTGCATATTTTCCATGACTTAAGTAAATACTGATAAAACTGCTTGGACAATCTGAACAACAAAAATCATCTCTACTGTGCTAACAGCCTATAGTAGATGCTCATTTATCATATCCAAATGAAGGAGATCTAAATGTGCCAAGGAAATTCCTGGCTTTACCTTTAGCCCAACATCAAATAAAAGACAGTATCAATTTGTAAGCAACATTTTCTGGTGAGATACCTACATCAAATTCAAGCAGTGCATCGATTTGTCCCTGCAGTATTGGCATACTCTTTAGTAGCTTCTCAGGAGCCATTGTCCTCATTACACCATCAGCCCTGTAATTATTTATAAAAGAAATGTTAAATATGTCCTTGTATATGGAAAGTTCAAGGCAACATGCATTATTCTAAGCTGTTTTACCTAAATGTTTTCAATTAATTTCTCAAAGTTCTCAATTTTTCTAATTCTATAACAAAAACAATAGTATTAAAATATAGATTTCCTAAATATCAACTTATTTGTATAATTGTTTGAGAAAGGAAAAATAATATGTCTTGTAAGTCTCTAAAACCTATAAGGATGGGAGTATGGGATTCATACTATTAACAGTTAGTTTCTTTGCATGTAACATATCAAGTTTGGCCCAAGGAGATAAGAGTTCAAGCAGCTGCACAGGACGCAGCTGGAGGTTAGTGTTGGAGGGTGTGTCAAGGGGAGCATTGAACCTAGTGTTCACCTTCACATGTCTTAGGGAGCTACTGCATTCAGTGATGGCCCAGGAGTTGGCAGCATTACAATAGCTGAGGAAAATACACAGGTGGTGGAAAAAGAGTGTCAACATTCAGGTGTCTCTTACTTCAATGGTGATGAAAGCATCCCAGATTTTTAAGAGTTCACAGAGGCCACAGTACAGCAGGGAAAGTGGCAATAGTTTCATGTAAAAAGTCAGAGGAAGGCATATGAACTAGAATTATCTCTAATAAGATGGGGATGAAGTAAAAACTTAAATAAAAAATTCACTTACAACAAATTAATTAATTTTGAACAGGAAGTTTATATTTTCACTTTATGATGAAAAGATAGTTCAAAGATATGGTCAGGTTAGCTATAAGGAAAATAGAATTATATCTTTTTGTGTGGGTTCTTGAGACTAAAATATTAAACCTTCTACAATACATTAATTTCATTTCAATTGGGAATAGGTTTGCTTAAATTTATGGCTGAACATTTCTGATTAAATTTAATCATCTATTTAGATGGAAATAAATGCAATCATGAAATAAAATGCAAGTAATTCTGCTTTATACTGAACTTTTCTTAATCAATGAGTAGTGTTAAAATTTAGTTAAATGATAGGATGTGTGCATATGTATGTGTTCTAGGACAGTA